TACGGCAGTTTTGGCGACAGTCCTAGGAAAAGCGGCGCTAATAACAGAGTAAGTCATTGCACTTTGATAATTCTTTTGTGAATTTTTTTTTTGAGAAATCCTTTTTTTTTTTCTTAGTTTATGGACGAAATATACCTATATTGCTATCCCTGGTTCATTCGTTTTCTGGGTGTTTTTCATAATCATCTATGGCACGATCGCTCCGAAACTGAAATTTTCAGAGGAATACCATGGAATCGTCCCAAAGCTGTTTTCAAGTCCAGTATTTTATTTCACTATTTTGCTTATTCCAGTGATTTGTCTTCTGCGAGATTATACATGGAAATAGTAAGTCTTTTGGTTCTCTGTTATCGATTATCCTTCAAGGGATCTAACCAAAATAAATGCTTCAATCAGTGTGAAACGCATGTACCATCCACGAAGTTACCACATCGTACAGGAAATACAAAAATTCAACATTCCCGATTACCGACCGCGTATGGAACAATTCCAAAAAGCTGTCAGAAAAGTTCGTGCGGTACAACGATTACGAAGAACTCGTGGTTTTGCGTTTTCTCAGAACGAGTCAGGCCAAGAAGCTCACCTCATCAGAGTATACGATACTACTGTGGCAAAACCCAAGGGTTAAGACCTTGAATATTGAACCATCGCAAGAAATATTTTTACTAATTCCACATTTATTAAAGGCTTTGTTGACATGTCATGCAGTAACTGTACAATACAGATGTCGATTTTTTTTTTTTTTTCTTTCAAAAAAAAAAAGATCATTTTACTTCAAAAAAAAAAAAGATGATAATTGTTACATGTAACTAGTCATTCAATTTGTATTTGTAAAGTAGTATAGTGAAAATCTTGAAATTTTTTTTTTTATATAATATTTAATTTATTTTTTTAAAAAAACATTCCTCAAACATAAAATCTCATCTCTGAATTTAATTATAAGCCACGTCTGACTTTAACATAACATCGGATGATAATTTAGTATGAAATATCGTCTTTCGTATCAAATATACCGAGACATACGCTGCACCTATTACCTTCGCGCAAGTTTACCTTCGAAGTTCGAATATCGAATGACTAACCAATACGAGAAATGAGAGATACATGTGTTTCTAAGGAGTTTGCACCATAAAATTCATATTGCACGACATAAACGATCTCTTGACGTTCAAAGATAGTTAGCTATTATAAAGTAAAAGGTGTGGTGGTGCATTCGGAGAACATAAAAAAGGTATTTTATTTTTGCATTGAAGCAGAACAAAGAACAATCAAAAATAGTATTCCTCCTAAAGATGGAAATTAATTTGTATAAAAATCTTTATTTCAACTCTATAATTGGCAAATTCACATCAGAACGTGCCGCGAAAAATCTATCGAAGAAAACCAAGAACATGAAGTAGAGACAAGAAAATTGTGTCGTATCTGCCGTTCCTTTTACTGAACAAAAAAACCGAATTTCTTTATTAACATTCTTAGGTGACGAAAGATCGATCTGTGCTTTCCTTTTTTAGCAAGATGGAGACTGAAACCTCTTTCAACAGCTCGCCACCGTCTTGTTTTGAACTACCTTTACACAAGTTTACCCATGCCTCCCCGGTATACAGATCGATAATCAGAATAACCAAGAGTCGCGGCAGGATGGGGGCGAAGACATCTATAAATTCTGGAATGTGGCGCATTGCTCGAGTTCTCAGCAAGAGATCTCCTATTATCGTATCGTACACCAACAATTTTTGAACTACATTGCCGGACCTGCGTAGAATGAAGTTTTTGTAGGCTTTAAATGTATCATAAAAAGTTTTAAAGGAGTAATTAGTTGTTTGCTAATTTAAAAAATTAAGTTTGTTTTTCCCCATTCGGTAAGACTGACACCGCCCTTGATTTAACATTAAAACAAAAGCATAATAATGAATTGCAAAATACGTATACGACTAATTTTTTACGAACGAATATTAAAAATGAAAATAAATAAAATTAAGTTTGCACCAGGAAACACGGCTACCGTTAAAGATTACCCGTACATATTGTATGTAAACTTATGTGTACGGTGGATTATTTCCTCATTTGAAATGTTAAGGGACCTCTAAAAATGCCCGGTGATCACGCTATATCCGACTAAAGCTGGATAGGAAATATATATAAAGCACAGGTAAATGAACCGTGGGGAAATTCGCACTCGTAGCTGCAATAAACCCTCGTACAAACTTGTTCCATGCTTATAACTGGTGATGCTTATTTCATCGACTTACATGGAAAATCCTTATAGGTATTTAATGTGTTGATTTAAGATTTGCGATTACCATCCGCTCGGTTTCCGCTTTTAAAAAGTACCACTCAGAATCCTGCATTTCCGTTCACTGTTACAAATTGTAAATTTTCAAATTAGTGAAACAAACATTTGATATTAAAACGTATAAACAAACACAAATACTCGACGAAAAATAATAATACTTTTTTATATCTGATACACGTACGATGATGTACTTTCCCTCCTTTCTTGATTGATTGGTTGTTTAATTCTATTACAGGAAGTTTTCCGAACAGTTATTCACTGATTGAGTCTATCATGATATTCACAATAACTGAGGATTGTGCAACGTGTGACTTCCATTAAATAATCAGTTCACAATTAACATAATTAAATGCAAATGTGACTTACATTGGACGTTGTTACAATGTCCAAATATCGCGCATAAGATCAATAGCATAGGTATCCTGGGTAGAGTGATAATGAGCGTTTGATAATATTAGTTCATTCCTGTTACATTCAGCCTGCAATGTGGTGTTCACAGGCATTATCAACTTACGTATTCCCATTCTTCTGCCGTGTGTGTGTGTATATCTTTATTTTACGACACTGTCACTTTCTTTCTTCACTTTACCTTTTTCGTTTTTTTTTTTCGTTTTTTTTTTTTTTTTAATTACTATTATAGCCTTACATTAGTAAATCTTAATAACCTCTATACTGTATATGCCCTAATATCTCTACTAATCATCATCCTTTTTTTCTTTTTCTCCCTTCATCCACTTCACTTCTTTCCATTCACTTTCCTTCTTTATAAAATTAAAACACCCTTTTACGAAGATCCTTAGACGCGCAAATTTTGTTTTGTATAATAATACTAAGTTTCTTTGAAATATATCTTGATGTGTTTTATGTGTCCTCACCGCAAAAGGTAAAAGAGAAAGTTGAGATAATTCTCAGAATCAAGTAACAGGCAGTCTTTTTTCATAGAGCGTAAGTGTGAAACTCCTATTTGCGGCTTCTCAAAGCCTACGCGTCCGGACCGGACGACCCTTCCTTTCCTTTCTCGCAAATACTTATTACTTCTGTGCATACTGCATGCAACGTTGCTCATCAGCCCTCTGAATAGAAGATAGCTTGGCCAAAACATAGAATTCACTTTTATATATCCAGCCGGAAAGAATATGAACGTACATCCAGAACGCACACTTTCCTCTACTTCTCCCACGAACTTTACTAGCGCTCTCTCATCAGGTGGTGGCGTCACGAGTAAAACAAAAACTTTGTCAATTTCCTTGGACAAATCAAAACAGAAATCACTAAAGGTCACAAAAAATAAAACCCCTCCAACCTCTCCGAAAACAAAATTTACAAAAAGCAAATTCTTTCTATCAAAACGACCAAAACTTGATACCTCAACCGCTAAAGTGTCAAATAGCACTTCCCCTACCGTACAAAAAAAGCCACGTCCAATCTCGCCGGTCACGAGCAAGCCTACGGACAATCCAGAAAAAAAGTCTTCGGTGAAGAGATCGGTGTCCGTTTCTACGTCACGTTCGGATTCGAATTCCAGTTTTATCAACTCTCCGACTTCTCTTCTCAAAAAAAAAAAGTTACCAGTGGTAGTCGAACCGAATCCGGAAAATCCGTCATCCAGCACATCCTCGCTCACCATAACTACCGATATATCATCGACCCCTTCATCCTGCGAATCCTCTCCGCACACACCAACTTCAAGTCAAGCGACCACTCTCACCATGCAATCCCCATCGACTCCTTCTCTAACATCCGATCAGACAATCGACGACGACGAGGATCATTTGGATATCACCATGTTTTTGGCTGCTCCTCGTTTAACACAACGCGTAAGGTTAAGTTCAGGTAGGGTGGTCAGTTTTTCCGAGGTTGGCGATAGGAATGGTTTCCCGGTTTTCGTGTTCCTGGGTATGGGTTGCGTGCGATATTTCATTGCTTTTTTCGATGACTTGGCGTTGAGCTATGGTCTAAGGTTAATATGCCCTGACCGTCCGGGCATTGGACTTTCGGACGATGTGAAATCGGATGAACAAGAAGTATTAAAATGGCCAGGTAATTGATAATCTACTTTTTTTTCTGTCCGTTCGCTTAACAAGCGGCGAATGACCGATCCCTGATAACCAATTTTTCACATTTACAGGTGTGATAGATGAACTTTGTAATATACTAGATATACCGCAATTCTTCTTGATGGCTCATAGCGCTGGTTCCCCGTACGCTCTCGCTTGTGCGATAAAGATTCCTCAGAGGATCAAGGGCACCATTTATCTTGTGTGCCCCTGGGTGAGCACCACCGTGGCAAATAATTTCAAGTGGTTGCGATTTGTTCCTACCCCCATAATGAAATTCACGAATTCAGCCGGTATATCAATACAACAAATGATCCATGGCCGCCAACCTTATTCAACCAAACCGGCGTCACAGCGAACCTCCGGTGCATTGGCCGCCCCAATTTCAGGTGTTGAGAAAAAACAACAACTCGGGCTCGCCATCCTCAAAGCTTCCTTCGCCGAAAATTTGGCAGGCGCAAATAACGATTTGATGATGTGCTTTGAAAGGCATAGACCTTTCGGATTTTCATACACTGATGTTGATATCCCCGTTCACGTGTTTCACGGGACAAAGGACGAGCGAGTCCCGGTATCGGCGGTGCAATGGATGGAGGAGAATATGCCAGACTGCAGGTTAACGTTGATCGAAGGCGGAAGGCATTCGTTGTTCCTTCGCGCTGAAGTTGTGGATACGATATTCAAATCGATGGCCGTACAATTTCACGTGAGAGGATCATGTCGGATGTGTAAAGTGTCGACAAAATGTTGGTTACAGGAAGAAGCCGAACGGCTAAAGAAAGAGAGGGAATTACAAATTCAAAAAAAGGTAGAATCCTCTTTCGCAAAGTTGACGAGAAAAGCCTCGGATATAGATATGAGAGCAGGAAATCAAAAATTTGTCATGGATCGATCTTCGGCGGATCAAATACCTCAAGCTGGGGAGAAATTACTTTCTGTATATACATATTTCTAAACTTTGGAATTTCCACACTACAAATACTACTCTTCATTTATAATAATAATTGTATACTAATTTTTCACACATACATTTTATATACATTTTCTCAATTGCAAAAGCAATCAAGGGTAGGTAAGCAAGCGTTCTTAAAAAAAAAAAAAAAAAAAAAAAAAAAGCATCCTTTTAAAAACTTCTTCAATGGATTTTATAATCAAATATATCAAGAAAAAAATTTTTTATAAGAAAAATATAAGGGATTACATCATAGCATTCTTTCATTCTTGCAATCCCTGAAATTCATTCAATCAAAAAAAAAAAAAAAAAAAATCATTTTTCTCGATTATAAAATCATGTCATCAGCATACTAGGAATATTATTTATCATTAAAACATACACATAAACATTGTATACCATTAAAGAAATGATTTTGTGGTCGTTAAAAGACAAGGTAACGACATGCAAAGAAACTGAAAGCAAAAGGCGAAATGTGCAACAAAAAAATCACAAATAAAATATTATTCATCTATTTTTGATTCTAAATTCTGTACTTATAATTTGTGCCTTATTAACTTTTTATTGTAGCAATAATAAAAGATTCTCATAAACGAAGTAGTTACACTTAGTTTAGTTAGTGTAATAAATTAAAGCAATTCAAAAAAGAATTCCCATTTCAAGGTACATCTATTTAGCACAAATTTATATTTAATTTATATATTAAACATTTAATAATTTAATAATTTATTTTTAAATTTTTGATTATATACAATTTGTATTGTTTTAATCTTCAATTGTTTTTTTTCTTCTGTCAACTAGCAGTGCCTTGCCTAGCATGTTTTATTGAATTATTTAGTTTATACAGTGTGTTACAAAAGTCTTTGGACTAATATTTTTTAATATAATTAATAAATAATTATTTAACTTAGATTAAACTTTAAATACATGTTTTTTATAACCTAATAATAAAAATATTCAAATTTTATTAATAGTTAATTAACAATTTTATTATAAAAATATTGTTTTAAATAAATAAATAAAAAGTAAAAAATTTTTAATTAGGTTTTTATATATAAATTTATGGTTAGAAACTATGATTTTTTAAATAAAATATTTTTAAAAAATAAATTAAAAATCAAAAAAAAATAATTTTGAATTTATAAAAAAATTATAAAAAAATTATTTTATAATTCTATTAATACTTGTTTAATAAATTATATATTAATTAACTTTATAATAATTTTTTCTTTTTAATATTTGATTTGTGATTAATTATTTTTACTTTTTTTTTATTTATTTAAAACAATATTTTTATGATAAAACTATTAATTAACTATTAATAAAATTCAAAAAAAAAAAAAAAACACTTTCCTGATTACCCAGATTCACCTAAAATCTGCAGTAATCAGCCAGGAATCCGCCCAAAGGCCCCACCCACCATGGCAATACACAACAGCAGTATTCCCAGGAGTAAGGCATCATTCTCCTCCACTCAGCAATAGTCCTCAGTACCCAAAATCCAACAGAAACTCAAGCAAAAACAGCAGCTAACAACACCCGAAGCAGGCAGCAGCCAGCCACCCGGCTGGATATCCACCATAAAGGAGGGAGTGAACGCCTCTTTTGACTGGGCAACTGATGCCCGGATGAATACAGAAGAATCTCAGCGAACACCCATCCCACCTATCTTCGAAGACTCTGATAAGAACCCAACATTAACAGATCCAGAGAGCGAGGCAGGGGATGTCCACCCATCTAGCACCAACCACCCAAGCCAGCCAGGCACCCCTATGGGCCACCTATAGACTGGCGCATCCAGTACGGCCGCTCCCATTTCAAAATGGCCATTCAAGCAGAAAGCTTGACTGGCTCCATGGAAGAGAAACTCAATGTAATCAAAGAAATAGTCTCTCAACTTGACTCCTACATAGGCATCCATGTGGCACAGCAACAGGGGGCAAAATTGATCATCGCTTTATTTGCCAATCAAAAAGATACCCAAAAAGCATGCAAATTGTCAATCCAAAGAGATAACAACCACCACATGGCCATCCTGGCCAATCTTGACCTAACAGAGGCCAAGAACAAGTCAATCCGTGTCTGGAACATACCCCTCGACACTAATAAACAAGAAATTAGGCAAAAACTTATCCAATTCGGATAAATTAAAAGTCTTAAAATGACTACTACAGGCATGTGGCAATGCGCACTAGTCGAATTTGCAGAACAAGAAGATTACAACAAAATTTGTACAAGATGGAGCATCCCATTTAAGGAAGAACTCCTGAGAATCTATCCTCTTTTGAAAACATTCGAGGTCAAACAAATACGGGACAAACACACTTTGAGACTCACCAATCTCCCCCTGGGACCACAGGATATGACCTTCATAACATTATCAGCATTACCAAAGCGGCATCCTGCTATATTCCTCAAAATCGGAATTACACAAAAAAACAGTTCGCTTTTCTTAACTTTACTTTGGCAGAAACAAAGGAACAAACCAAGAATCAGAAAGTATATCTGGGTGAAACACCCCTCTATTGGCATAAAGTAGACGAAAAGCTATGCGCAATTTGCAGCACAGCAGACCACCTGATAGCAAGTTGTTCAATTAAAGCAAAACGCTAGGAAAAACAACAATTATTCAAGGAAAAAGCAAAAAGATACAACTCACTCTACCAGAAATTTAAACCAGCAGGAACAGCAAATATCAGGAGAATTGCACCAAAACAAACTGTCAAACCAGCCAACCAGGACTGTTGGAGAGCCTGGGAGCAATTTAACAGAACCTCCAACAAGTTTGCAAACAAAGGAACATTCGTCCAAATCGCCAGACAAGCCTCCAACAAAGGGCCAAACCTGGCAGCAAATAACCCAGCAGCAATGATCAACCTTTAATCATCCCTAACCAAAGTTCTCAAAGCTGTACAGACAATAGGAGCGGAATTAAAGGACATCAAAGAAACTATCAATGATTTCAACAGTAGAGTTAACAATTTGGAGGAGTTCGCATACTTCTACACAGTTGACGACGAAGAACAAGTACAAGCAGCTATCGAAACAGACAAAGAATACCTGAACCAAAATCCACCATACACAACTACTCCCGAGCCAAGGGACTTCAACTACCAGCGGAAAAGGCAAGCAACAAGTCCAGCAGTAAACACACTCAACATTAGAGAACAACAAATCAATCTAAACACATGCATGGCAAACATAGATAACATCTTCCAGAGTATAGTGGACACCCTTAACCAGATTATTGATATTACTACAAACATCCCCTAACAACCTACCACATATGATGAACAATGAGAGAAACACAACAGAAGTCCCTCCAAATACATCATCATCAACAAATAAAATCAAGACAACAAGCACCAGCCACAACATCACACCTGTACAACCATCCACAATCATATGGAAAACACTTACATACAACGTAAGGGGTATTAACGATCCTACCAAACATTAAACTTTCTTCACCTACTGCATCCAAAAGGACATAGACATAGCAATACTTACCGAAACACAAGTACAAAGCAACAATCACAAATTCTGGAAACACCCGACTATAATATAATCTGAAGCAACAATAACAAAGGAGCTGGTATCACAATAATGATTAAAAAGGACATAGGAAAGCACATAGGCAAAACAAAAGAATATCCAGGCAGAGGAATAAGCATCAATCTGCAATTTAAGGAGAAAAGACACATCAGAATAATAAGAGCCTATATACCAGCATCAGATGGTCAGGAAAAAAGAGAAGTCAACAAATGATTAGAAGAAGAAATCCTTACCAGACATAGAAAAAACTGGAATACAATTATCATGAAAGACTTTAACTCAGTAATAAACCCCCAAATAGATTACAAGTCGGCAACTAACAAGAAACACAGATCACAACAACCCATCTCTACAACCTTACGTGTTTTGCAAAATCTCAATTACACAGATTGTTATAGAGCACTAAACCCCATCACCCTGGGCTTTACCTGGCAAAACTCCAGAGGTGTGACCTCAAGGTTGGATTACATTTGGATCTCCAATCACAACGAGTGGTATCCTACTGAGGCAAAAATCAGCTCTGCAGCTATGGTGACCAACAGCAATCATGCGATCATTCAAGCAATGATTTTCCTTCCCAATATCCTTACACCCTCAAAAAACCATCCAAAAAATCAGACAGAAACCAGATATACCACAACAGGCACAACAATTGAACAATGGAAAAAATTCCAAGAGGAGCTACAACACAGTCTCCAACAACAAGAAAGGCAAGCAGATTCAGCAAACATGACACCCGACAAACTCTGGAACCTTACTTGGGAAGCAATCAACAAAGCAAGATCTAACCACATTTCCAAAATCAAAACCAAAAGGAGAAGGGCAATGCAGGCCCACAAAGTTGTATCACCACAAGAAGGGAAAGTCATCGAAATCAGAAAACTCTATAACAAAGGGAAACAATACTTCAAGCACAACATCAGAACAACAAATATCATCACAAGTATCAACAAATCCATTGACAAAATTAATCAAGGAACTTCAACAATTCAAGAACCTCCCTGGCAAGAGCCAAACCATCTTTCACCCGCTGCTTATAAATGGTTGGAGGAAATCAAGAACCTATGGAAAACAGCCTACAAAAGTCTCACGACACTGACAAACAGGAAAATACAAGAGAAAATCCAAAAAAGAACAGAAGATAGATTCCTACACTTGTTCACAAATAAAAAGAAAATGATCAGATCAATTCTTGGACGTGAAAACAACAACATATCCTTCGACAAATTACTAATCCAAGGTGATCCGATTATGGTAATCACAGAACCAATGGAGATCAAGAATGAGGTGGCAAGACATTTCCAACAACCTCTTATACAAATACTATCCTTGGAAGAGAAATGGAACTACTGAAGACAAGAATTCAACCCTAAACCGGAGATCGTAGAAAGCTGGTATGATGAATGTCTACAGGAGATCTCACATCAAGAAGTTCAGGAAACAATCAA